CTTTCCATTTTAAAGATTAAAAAGTGGAAACAAAGGCATTGAAAGCGTCTTACTGAGCATCATACAGCACATTAGTGGAAGAGGCAGGTCTACCAGTCAAGGCTACTGCTTTCTAGATCAGTGATCTCACTTGTGATAAACTGCCTCTATGAGGTTAGTAAAATGAGTTCACCTACACTACTACACTATTATTTACTCTATAAATGTACACATGTAATATCAACAAGATGCTAAGAGTTATATAAGAACAGACACAGCCTTTTTTTCCTGGATCTTCACAAAGATGAACACAATACTGTCCATGGTAAGTTTTTTCCCAATAGAGCGGTATTCAAAGTGTTGTGTAAACACCAGGGATACCAGTGGTTCCCTGTTCCTCAGTAACCCAACCATATTAACCTTTATCTTTATGCCTTGTTACTCTGCCCTGTTACCACTTCAATTCGGGTCATTAGAGCTCTTTAAGCTAACATGGCTGAGCTGTTGTCACTTTGACTACCATGTAATACAGGTGGATCCAAGATGGGGTTAAACTTCCTAGGTCTCAGAAAATATCAACAGTCTGTCTTATGCCAATGTGGATCTTAATGGGCATTATATTTATGTTTTTCAAATGGTTTGTCTTCAAAACAGTACCAAGTGTACCAAACTACTTTGAATGTTCATAATATTCAGGCTAACTATATACAGATATGACTTCAAATATACACTATCTGCACAGCAATCTATTATATGGTATAATAAATATATGGTATAATAAATTATATGATATTGAGTCTGTCTCATGATAAAGCTGAGAGGCTTGTGGTCAAGGCAGTTTTCCTTGTTTTCCATGATGAAACTTATACATRTACACAGTGTCTTGTGTTTCTATAATGTATTTAAAAATCAATAAACTTAGAGCAAAACATCCTTTTTTTCTTGTTTTTCTTCAGTTTTTTCTGTTAATCAAGTGATAGCTACTTGACTGGCAGCTCTATCGCACACATTCCTTTAATAAGGCAGGACTGCCCACACATTGTGTGTTCTGGTCTGGAAAGTGGGATTTGAATCCTCTGGGATGGAGGCAGCCAAAGTGCTGATGGCTGTGACTGTGGCTGTTTTGTTCACCATGTGTTCTGCAGAGTTCAATGACAATGGTTTCTTTCTCTAATTTCATATATGGTAGCTACTGATTTAAAATGTGAAACTCTCTATTCAGGTGTCCAGAATAGAGGTCATTATACCTTTTCATTCTGAAGAATGAACTGAGCTTTAACTGTGAGAAGCATTTGACTGGATTCTCTTCTTGCMTCATTTGTTACTGTGATCTAATCAAAAGCATGAACAGGTTAAAAAATAGTAACACAGTTCTTGGCTGTAAGACATGGCCTATATTTGACTGCTGACTAAAKGACCTTCTTCTTAAAAAAATAAGTTTTCTCCACTTAAAGCTGYGCATATTTTTGACATTTCTGTTCTCTAGTAAAGCTAAAGAAAATCCAGTGCAGATGCAGGACCATTTCTTTCATTTTATTTCCATCTAAGTAAATTGATGTAAATGGAGGGACCTGATAGCAGGTGGAATTTGCTTACATATTATGAAAATCACATACACTTCAGAGGGGTGATGTTAGATGAACAAAAAAGTGTTGGTTTTTTTTCCTTCTTTTACCAAACCTTTCCCAGAAATAATGTGGTTATTCTCATCAGAGATTTGCCAGGATGCATTTCAATTTGTGACCTCAGATAAAAGAGCAAAGCAGCAAGCAGATTTGTGTTCTAGAGTTAAAGTGGTTTGTTTTCCTACTTTTTATCCTCAGAACATTACCACTGTCTTTTCTCTTTTCTCCTTTTTGTACTGAATTTACAGGAAAAATTGTTCAGATAGAAACATATTGATTGCAGTAAGGAATTGTATGTTACCTGCCCTGCACACCTCACCGCAATATTTAACTGGTGAGAAATGTGCTCTAACTGACACCAAACAAAAGCAGAGTTGTTTTTCATTTTAAGAGTTTGCTCTCTACATGGCCTTGAATGTTCATTTCTTTGACAGTAGATAATGATTCATTCTCTTGCTTTGCAGTTTCTAGATGGCTAAGTACTTAAAAAGTCAATATTGAATTTCTAAGCAGAAATCCACACATGATTACAGTAGAGCTCTGCTATCAAAGCATTGTATTAAGAGATGTATCGGTATATTTCACATCTATAAAAATAAGAAGTTTAAATTTTACTTTTGAAGAGTATTTTAAAGTGTGCTAGTTTGGATTTATTGATAATAAGTTTTAGAAAGTTTGATTCTTTGGAGTCAAGATTCAACGTAAAAAATTAAAAGTGAATTAAAAATCATTCAAAGTCATGGTAGCTGTATGCTTAGAAACACAATTCTTTGTTCTTTATTTAAGATTTAAAGCCAAGTGATCCAACCATGACTGGCAAAACACAGACCAGCAACGTCACCAATAAGAACGACCCAAAGTCCGTCAACTCCAGAGTCTTCATCGGCAATCTGAACACAGCCATTGTCAAAAAAGGTGACATCGAAGCAATCTTTGCAAAGTACGGGAAAATAGTGGGCTGCTCGGTGCACAAAGGCTATGCRTTCGTACAGTACATGAGCGAGAGGCACGCCAGGGCTGCAGTGGCGGGGGAGAATGCCAGGATCATCGCAGGGCAGCCACTAGGTAAGGATTTGTTATTACCATTAAAATACTATGTAATCTTTCCTTTCTATTTGAAATATCATCTGCTGCTGGTGCCTGCAGGACTAGTGAGTTGGTTTTGCCGATGTTCCACCTCAGCATATTTCCAGAATGATGGATCTGATAGAAAATTTAACACATGATATGTTACCTAGGTATTACAAAGTATTTAGTGCTATAAACTGCTGATTTATTAAACAGATCACTTCTGACAGCTTTATACTTCTCTTTATAATTCCACTGTAGCGAACATGATTACTCTTGTGAGGAAAACACAAGTATTTTTTCTTAAACTATAACTAGTAAATTTATTTTAATACACCAAGGCTCATCAAACAGATGTGATTATCTTTCAGGTAATGAATTTAAAATAATACCCAGCCCAGTGATGTGTCAGTTGTTTTACAGAAGCATAAGATTAGTTTTTATTTGTCTTTGAAATCATACCAAATCAAACTTAGCAGTTATTTATTTAGAGAAGTCTATTATTAAAAACTAAGGTTGCAGTTCTCCCACATAATACTGTAAACATTGTTCATCTGAATTACAAATTTAACAAAAGAAAAAAAGTCATATTTTCTAGKTTTTTTTCTATATTTCTAGTGCTTTGTCATGAATGTTTAAGTAAGATCTAGTTGTTTCATATTGCAAATTTTATCTCTGAAAACTATTTGCAATTTCATATGTAGGCTGTCAATGATAAACTCTGGAGTACAGTACTAGCCTTACCTGTCATATATATATGGTCRTAATGGACAGCACAACAAGATGTTTGATAGAATTCAGAGTTTTTTTCACTAAACCTCTGAACTGTATTGCTCATATCCAAACCCAAGTGTGCAATGGCTGTGTCAGGAAAAAGTGAAGTGTAGCCAGTGCTTTGGCTGTAACAAGCCATAAAAAATGGATATGGCTTGTTCCTTTTCAATGTTGTGGGCTGTGGAAATCTATTTTTCTGTGGAAATCTATCGCTTGTCGAAACTGAAGCATCTGTGTTAGACRAGTTGTTCTTTTATCACAATTGGTAAATAGTAATTTTAAGTTTTATAACTCCTACCTTTCGAGTTCAATAGAAGAACATATTAAATAATTTCACTTATATTCAAGGGGAGATTGCTTTACAGCTTCATTAGGAAAAGTYATATAGATGAGTGAAATAAAAGAACTCAAGTGATAAAAGCAAGGCAGCAAAGTCAGTCTGTGGGATGGCATTATTAGAAGACGTTTCCTGGAGCGGTGTTCTCCAAGCAATAGGCCATGTAATGCCATCAGTGCATTATTTACAGCTTCTTGCACACTGGTCTGACCAGATTTTTTAAACTGCGTTTTCCTAAGGCAATAGATCTGTTATTACTATGATTACTGTTGCTAGTCTTTTTTAGTATTTCTTGTGGCATCTATAATATGCCAAGCTTTTTGTACAAGGAAATGCCCTTGCATTACCCAGTGTAATTGTGTGCTTTCTTTAGGAGGGAAGTGAATTTTTTGCAAAGGAAATTAGGTGATCAATAATTACTTGAAACGTTTGAATATTTTAATAATAACAAAARTGGTTTACTTAATATTAAATTTCAACTGTTTAATCTTAAAATACTTTTATTTTTCTGCAAACTCTCTTGGTGGCACATTTCATGTCTCAGTTCCTCGTTTATCAAAGAATATAAAGAATAAGCAAGGTGAAATTTTCTTTTAGCTGTTCTTAATTTACTCTTTCTATACATGAAATACACTTGTTATCAGCACTGTTTCCCAAAAAGAATTAATTTGTGAAAATGGTAGTTCTTGTTTAAGAAATTATTTGTATGARTTATTTTAATTGGCAGTCAACATTAATAGTTACCACACACTAATTAATAGATGACTGAGAAAATTTACTTGGGATTACAACCCAGAACAGCTTATGCACAAATGATACATTTTTGTGAAAATTTTTGATGAAAATGTCTTTTTTCTTTGTCCTAAGAGCTTYGCATTCTGAAATAAATAGAACTAATTTATTTACATCAACAGCCAAGTTGTGGAAAGAGGACAAAAAAATCCTGTTACAGATGTACAAATAAACGTGGTTGACGTAGCTGAATTTCCTTTTAAATTGAATTGGAATATATTAGTAATATAATGAGGGCTGGATGATAGTCCAGTTGTGGAAAGCTATTTGAACAAAGGAACATTTGAAAAATATTATCCCATGAAATATGCCTGATACTACCATACACTCTAGTACTCAGTAAAGAACTAATAACTTGATTTAGGCTGTGTTATCAATGTACATTAGCTCTTTCATGGTAYAGCCAACTGAACTGCTTACATTAGCTCTTGCCTTTTATGGAGTCCTGCCATTCAAAATTATGCAGCTTTATCCATGAGTTATAAACTGTTCACATGTATGCAACTGAACTTAAAACCTGAACCTGTCAATTCTTATAATTGTTTATAGACTGCTACAAAATTCCCTTGGTATCCTGTCTAAATGTTTCTTCTGAAGTGGAGTCCCAAAATATTGGGTTCAGTAGGTGATATATCAAGCCACTTTGTTTAGCAAATTCCTCAGAAGTAAAAATCTAAAATATTGGTATTTCCCTCAGTCTTGCCAGSTTCCTGTGGGTCATTATAATTGGTCTGTTGATCTCCTCCATCAACTCTAAAGCTCCTACTGATGYGTTTGGTGTTCACTGAGATGTAGTAGCGGTGTCGTGGATATTGCAACTTCAMGAAGTGGATTTCATGAGCTGTATGATTATTTCCAACCTTTCTGTGTCGTAAAGTGCAACACACTCTTAAAAGCTGTTGGGTAAAGATCATAAAAGGACGCAAAAAATATGCTTAGGAAATTTATTGCTATTATTGCGAAGTTCAGTGTAGTTTCTTGAAGTAATATTATGTCTTCATGGGAATAGCATGTTTTCCTGTCCACAGGACAGAGACAGGTCAGTACAGGGCACAGCAGTCTGCTTCACGATGGGTATTTTGTGAATTGTTTCAGGCTGGAACCGAGAAAATATTGAAGTTGGTCTAGGACAAAACTGCAACTTACGTTCTTAGTTGTGGGCACACATCCACATAAGCAACTCTTCYCAAAAGTTTTTCATCCATTTAAACACACCTATGAGTTACAGAATATTTGTGCATATCCACTTCCTTGCCAAATAGAGCRAAGACACAGGGTGGAATAGGAATTGTTCTGAGGAAATAGTCAGTCTGTGTGTGAACTTTAACAAGGRTGATTTAACCCCTCTCTGGTGAGAGAAAGATTAGACAGCTGCTTGCTCCAAAACATATGGTGCAAGTTCCTCATTGCAGCTGTGGGCTGAGCAGATGTGCTGCAATCTTTCTTGTAGTGAGGAGCCCAGAACTGAACACAGAGTTCAAGGTGCAGCCTCGCTTTTGCCAAGTGCAACAGAATGATCCCTGCCCTGGTCCTGCTGGCTACAATATTTCTGACACAGGTACACCATTTCTGCCCTTCTTGGCCATCTGGGCACACTCAGGCTCATGTTCAGCCACTGTTGACCAGCACCTCCAGGTTCTTTTCCACCAGATAACTTTCCAGCCATTCCTTCCCCACTCTATAGTTTTGCATGGGGTTGTTGTGACCCAGGTGCAGGACCKGGCACTTTTTCTTGTTGRATCTCATACAGCTGGCCTCACTCCATTGATCCAGATCCCTCTGTAGAGCCTCCCACCCAAAACTGGTGCTGTCTGCAAAGTTGCTGAGGGTGCACTCAATCYCCTCATCCAAATCATAAATAAAGCTTTTAAAATAAAGATATCATATATGTCTTTTAAAATAAAAAYATTCTATCTAAAATTCTGGTATATCATGGCAACTTTTAAAGATATCATCTATATCAATATATCATAATGACCCTTTGATTTTTCTTAGTTTATAGCTTATTGCCTTTTATTTTATACTACCTTATTATGCTTAACTTTTGTCTGTTTTCATGCACATTTTTATATCAGCATAATTTCTTTAACTTGAGAATTTTTCTTCATTTGTGCCTGAATAAGAGGCAGGCCATCCCACAGGTATCTTATCAAAACAAGCTAAATGGTGCAAGGCTCATACTTCTTTTGTTTTCCATGGAAGACACATAGAATGGATCCTCAGGAAAAGGAAAGATTACAGTACCTAGATTACCAGAGATGCTGTAGTTCTTCAATTGATGCCTTTTTAAAGTAACAAATTAGTTCCACTGTAGCTTCAATCCTGTTTTGTTGATGCAAATATTATTCACCTGTGTCTGCCTTCAGGTCTAAATAAGATGCAGTCTCTGAATACCAAGTGAGTGCATATTGACATGTAGTCCAAGGTAAGATGTGGCTGCAGATATTTATTTTGGGAGACATGCTCTTTTGCATGTACTTTTCAAAAGCACAAGTGCCCTGAAGGGGCTTTCTAAATTATAACTACCCAGTAGAAAAAAACCAAGAAGAGCAGGTAATAAAGGGAGACTTTAGAGAGAGTCAACCTTTGATGCAGATTGAATTGATGTGATAATAGGGCTGTTTTATCTTTTGTTTCCCTTTCCTCTACTCAAAACATATCGTCTCTATTTTATGTGATGTTTTATATTTTGTAATGTCTAAGAACACGAGAGACTTAAATGTGTGTTTTCAGAACAAGGACTATCCAGGCTGAACCAATTTTTCACCTCAATCTGAACTACAGAAAACATTAGTTGTGTCATGAATTGTTATATCTTAAGTGGAATAAATTCTTATGCTGCTTTAGTGAACTAAATTGTAACAAAAAGCACTTTGGCTTTAAAAAAAATGAGATTTACACAAATTTCCTGGGTGGCTAAGCTTTCCCTAAACCAACAGTAGGCTAAGATTATAAATTAGAATCTGGGTTAGTAGTTATTCAGTTTCTACTTTGTCATCGGTTTTCAGTCAGTAACATGAAAGTATAACAATCTTTCATTTGTACAAACAAAACTCATGATTTRTTAGAGCAATCTTGATACTCTTACCCACCT